CTTCCCTTGTTTGAAAAGAGCGTAAGTTTATTTATCTTTCTTTTGTCAGTTTATTATCAAATCAATGTCCTTTTATATATGCTTATATTTGTTATCCTTGTTCTTTCCACAGTACAATACACCTGCCACTCAGACGCAGGAACGCGAACCTGAACCTTGGTCTGAGAGGACGATGCTTAATACGTCACGGCCTGGACTTGGCATGGATTATCCTCCTCCAACAAAGAGGGATTCTCTGTTTTCTGAACGCGAAAGCCAGCTGGATTCACAATATCATCCTCCTGGACTTTCATTGTATGGGCAAGATCCTGGACTTTCTGGAAATCGTACTTCAGGCCTTGGTCGTGCTGGAAATCCTGTTATTACTCAGGTTTGTGGCTTTAGCATGGAACTTTACACTATGGAAACATTATGTTTTTTTCTGTTAAGATTTTATCTTTTGTCTATTTTCACATGGTATGGGAGCTTCTGCAATCTTGGTGGAGACTAAATTAGTTTTTGCTTACGGTCATGGGCCGTTATACTATCTGATCCGACGTTTTTCTTTCCTTTCATAAGTTCACTATTCTTGTTTCTTCCTATTGACCGTTTTGGCGCCACAATTTTTATTTTGGGTGACCACTCCTGTGGCACCGGTTGTTAGGTGACTTTTCGAACAAAACTTTTTTAAAACTTTTTTACTTTCTTCTTTTTATTCGTGGTATTAAAGTGTGGATATTAGATTCTTCTTTTTATTCGTGGTATTGTTGACCATGGAATTTTCACTCGCCGTTTTTACTTCCTTTTGTCGTGTTATTAGAGTCAGGCAGTGAGTCCCTCTTCTCCTCTGAGCATTGTATTTCCTGTCATTGTTTCGAGAACATTCATTTACTCTTCAGCTCCTAATTCAGGCTAAACTGACGAGGTCCTGGACATTTCATCCCTCTACCTCTTTTATGCGAATATATTTCTCTGTGTTTATTACGATAAGCACATTTCTTTTAATATTGCACTTGCTTTGCTATTAACGTTCTAGGGAAAAGAATCCTAGCAACATTTTTCTTTGCTGTGATTTAGTATTTCTTGTTCAAATATACAAGAAGAAAAAAGAACTCCTCTTAAGGTTGTTTGGAGCGTTGAATGTGAAGCGAAACATTAAAATTTGTGTGGAATATTCTTAATGAATTTGTTAATTAAGAGAATTATTGAGCAGAATATTAGTTTAGAATATTCGTATTGCCGTTGACCATTAAATTTTTTATCACCGGCATGGAAAGTCATCTTTTGTTCTTATTGGAGTCTGAGTAGCGAGTTCCTCCTCTGAGCATGGTAGTTTGGATCATTGTTTCTGCAACTTTTGGTTACTTTTCACCTTCTAGTTTCAAGATAACTGATGATGTCTTGATGTTTACGGTACTGTACCGTCTTTTCGAGAACTCCTTTCGATTTACTATAAAATGCTCTTTTTTTCCTACTTCTGAATTGTTGACTTTCTTGGAGAAAGAATTGTAGCACCATTTTTCTTTCCGGTGATGTTTTAGTATTTCTTGTTAAAAATAAGCAAACTCAAGTTAACTCATCATCTTGAGTTTGTGGGGAGAAAGTCAATAAACATTAAAAATATTGGGTAGAATATTCTCAATGGTTATGTTACTCAAGAGACTAATTGAGAATATTGTTGAGAGTAATCTTGATTTGGGACTTGGGGAAGGAGCAACTTCGAGATATACAAGTAAATATAATTGTCTAGTTGCATAGATTCTCTCTTCACCTACTGATCATGGTCTTGTCGATGCTCGTATATGGGTTTGCCAACCTCCAGTGCTTCCGTGAATTGACTATACTAACTGTTAATCATAGAAAACAACTTCTGTACTTCAGTTTTATGCCTTGCTTTCTATCAATTACTTTTAAGTTTTCTTAAACTATATGCTTTTTGAAGGACATATATTTGGGACGGAGTGTTTCTTATGGAAGCACAAGAGCGGATTATGTATAGCCAAACAGCAATATGAAACGGCATAAACCACTGTCTATGACTCGTATAATTTGACATGCCATGATGTAGTTAACACACTGTTACCCACTGCAAGATTTCTCCTCAGTACTTGAAATCAAAGGGATTTTTCTTTGCATTTTTGAGTAAAGTCAGATCTCGTGTGCAATTTCCTGATTGTTGCAGTTTAAGCCATTTTAATTGCAATTGACCTTTAGACAGAGGAGATTATAGGGATAAGTATGAAGTAAGAAAGAAACAGAACCTCCCGTCTTTAATTGAGATATTTGTTAGGATAATATCTGCTTGTTATCTCAGAGAAAACATTTTTGACTTGATGTTCTTTATCGTGATTTTTATGGTTTTATTCGGAAAGGTGAAGTGCACTAGTGAATTAGATATGTTGGTAGAAATTCTGGTTGGTGGTATGAATTGGAACATTTGCTAACTGTAAACTGTTGTAATTTTAGCTGCAATAGGCCACTTTGCTACACTTTCCAAATACCGCTAGCTGAGTATATGTAGTATGTATGTTATCTCAACTGGGATTATATGATTAGTTGCTTATGTTTTCTGCTGTAAGAAACCTAGATCTGTAAAATCATAATTAAATTATGCTAAAGTTGCTAATATTATGTTTCTTTCGATGTGTGAACTTTTGCTCTGTTATGTCAAAAACAATAAACTTTTATTTGGCGATCTTATCTTGTTTTTCCTTTGCAGATTTCCCAAACTGTTCAAATGCAAATACCACTAGCTTATGCAGAAGATATCATTGGCATTGGGGGAGCAAACATTGCTTATATACGGCGTACTAGTGGTGCAATTCTCACAGTGCAAGAAAGTAGGGGCTTACCTGATGAAATCACTGTGGAAATAAAAGGGACGTCATCGGAGGTTCAGACAGCTCAGCAACTTATCCAGGTAATCTCAGTTTCCTCTTTTTATAAAAAATAATTTCAAGAAGCCGACAAGTTGTGATATAAGTGGTTCACATTTTTATGCAACACATTTAAAGCCCTGTAAATTATATGCGATTGACGAGTTTCTATAGTGTTCTTCCGAATTGCAATGTAACTGATGAATGAATCGTCATTATAGGAATTTATGGGTAGCCACAAAGAATCACTTGCAAGCAGTTATGGCCAATTAGATACAGGCTTGAGGCAGTCTTCTTACTCTAACCTAGGCAGTGGCTCCTATTCATCTTCTTCATACGGCGGACAACAATATGGTGGTGGCGGCGGCGGCTATGGATCATTTGGTGCTGGAGGGTACAGTAGCTACAGGTCATGAACAGATTAGCCCCGAGTCTTGGAACTCGTAGTTACCCGTCCTGATGTTTTTCTTGTGCATTTGGTGCCAGAACAAACACTGAAGCAACTGCAGGCCGTTCATGCTATGTTAATCTGATGTCTCTTACTGCAATGTATTGATAGCTTTTCAGTAGCTCACCATATCTTGTAGTTCTTACATGTGTATCGGTACGATAACATTGAATTTTGCAAGTGTAATTGTTAGGATGTGGTTCTCGAAGTATTATCTCTCTATTTTTTTTCAACCTTTATTTTGTAAATGTTGCAACTTGCCACTTCATATAAATGATCAGTTGCAATTTGCCTCGCTGGAGGGGTGTTGGGTTTTCACATAAATGAACCTTGGCCAATTTTGTTCTTTAGAGTGTTTTATTTTGCTTTGTTATCTGTAAAGTTGAGAGCATTCTTTGCCATTTCAAAATGGGTTATATGTTAATCTTCTGCATCGACTGTAAATCTTGTCAATTTTTTATGAGATGAAAAACAACTTATCCAGTATCATCCCACAAATGGGGTCTGGGAGGGTAGTGTGTACGCAGACTTTATCCCTATTTGGCAAAGTAAAAAGGGTGTTTCAAATAGACCCTCGGCTCAAGAAAAGGTGAAGAAAAGGTGAAAAGAGAGAAAGGAAGAAGAGGCAGAAGAAAGAGGAAGAAGAAAGAAAGGATAGGGGAACAAAGGACAATCAGGAAAAGGGGAGAAAGACAACTATAGTAGCAACAATAACAACAACGAAACCAGTAACAGAAAATAGCATCAAACAGTAACACACTGGAACATACGATACACAGAGCGAACAAAAAAACAAGGGAGCTACTAATACTACTAAAAAAGAACGGGGAACTTCCGACTACCTACTAGCCAACTACCCTAATCTTTGACCTCCACACCCTTTTATCCTGAATCATGCCCTCAGTGAGCGTGAGCTGAAGTAGCGCCATATATTGCCTAATCACCTCTCCCCAATACTTCTTCGGCGTTCCTCAACCCCTTCTCAGCCCTACCACGGCCAGCTTCTCACACCTCCTAACAGGAGCATCCATACTCCTCCTCTGCACGTGCCCGAACCATCTCAGCCTCAACTCACGCATCTTGTCCTTCACAGGGGCTACTCCCAGTTTGTCCCGAATAACTTAGTTCCTAATCTTATCTCTCCTGGTATGCCCACACATCCATCTCAGCGGTCTTACTCCAGACCTCCAGCCTCGCATTGACCCCGCTCCTCGTCTCATCAATCAGCACTATGTCATCGGCAAATAACATGCACATGGCACCTCCCCTTGAATGTGTCGTGTCAGCACATCCATCGCAACCCGTTTGTCCATAATTTTCTTTTTCCTTTTTTGAACTTTTTTCTTCAAAATATTAGTTTGATTATATAGATGAAAATTGTTTTGAAGATGAGTTTCCAACAAAACCATTTTTTAATGTAAAAAATTCTTTTGCCTACACAAAATTATACTCTTTTATCAAGTAAAATACATGTTCAAACACAATTTCGAATTTTAAATACTTTTTTTTTCACTTAACTTAAAAATTATATTTTTCAAATTTTTATATTTTTATGCCCAAACACCTATGTTAGTTCGACATACTCGAACTCACAGATAAATATTTTGTCACAAATAAAATATTAATATTTAAGTGTTAACATAATAGAATGACGGTCTCATTAGAGTTTCCACTTACACCACTGACCTTGAAAATTTCTCCATTTAGGAAAAAAAATACCTCTTTCTATCATACTTTTCCCCCAAATAAAAAAAATTAAAATTAAAGAAAATACTTTTCCAAACCCTCCTAAAACCCCCAATTCAAACCCTCTCCTCCAAACCCCGGCGCCACAGTTCCTTCGACCATTCCTCGCAAATTCTATCAGCAAACAAAAAAAGCGAATTTATGATATTTATTCATCTTCTTCATCCTTTCAATACAATGGCAAGTAGTACTATTATTCAGCACCCATTTTGATTCTTGTTCCTCACTCCCTTAACTAATTACAACAGCATGATTCTTTGGTTTTCTCTACTTCTCAAAATAAATTAGGGGCTTCAACTTCAAGTTCTTTCTTGGAAAAAGTTTGTTCCCTTTTCCACAAATTACAATAAAGAATAGAATAATAGCTTGAGATGTAAAATGGGTATAGAGAAAATGATAAATAATTTATGTTTGCTTAATTTTTCTGGGTCTTGGGTGGTTTGTAGTTTTGAGCTAACAGATGTTGTATAGCATTAGTAGTGCACAACTTTTCATACCCATATGCATATTTTTTGAAAAGAAATCATTTTTTTTTTTTCATACCCATATTCATAGTTCTTGAAAAATATCGTTTTTTTCATATCCATATGCATATTTCTTAAAAAAATCAATTTTCTCTTAATACCCGTATGCATATTTCTTAAGAAAAATCAATTTTTTTATACCCAAATGCATATATCTTGAGAAAAATAATTTCTTTACTCCTAAATGAGCCAAAGGACCTTTCTTTTGAAGTCTTTGTCAATATTTAAAGCGCAGTGTCAATATTCAAACAGTTTTTCATCAATTGCTTACAAGTCTTTTGACCTCAAGACTTGCATTGTATCACTTCAATCATGTGCCAATGACAAGAACCTCGCAGGAGGGAAACAGGTCCATTGCCATATGCTTAGATTTGGCCATTTAAATTCATCTCCGCTGCCTACTACTAGCCTTATTAACATGTACTCGAAATGCAACTCGTTATCCGATGCGTTATCTGTGTTCTATGCTTCACCACTTGGTCATAATGTGTTTGCTTATAATGCTATAATAGCAGGATTAATTTCCAATGACTTGCCTAAAAGAGCTTTTGAGTTCTATTGCCAAATGAGGGTAGTTGGTGTCCTGCCTGATAAGTTCACTTTCCCCTGTGTGCTTAAGGCTTGTTGTAATGTAGTAGATGTGAAAAATATTCATGGGTTAGTTTTTAAACTGGGTTTAGAAGTTGATTTGTTCATTGGCAGTTCTTTGTTGCATAGTTATTTGATGTATGGGATGGTAGATTTTGCGTTAGATGTGTTTGAGGAGTTGCCAGAGAGGGAAGATGTTGTGCTTTGGAATGCCATGATCAATGGCTATGCTCAAACGGGTGAGTTTGGTAGTGCTTTGATGGTTTTTAGGTGGATGATTGAGGATGGGGTTATTCCCAACAGGTTTACTATAACGGGTGTACTTTCTGCTCTGGCAAATTATGGGGAAGTTTACAATGGGAAGGTGATTCACGGATTTGTGATAAAGAAAGGGTTTGATTTGGGTGTTGCCATTTCGAATGCACTAATTGACATGTATGGTAAATGTCGCTGTGTTACTGAAGCTTTGGAGGTTTTTGAGATGATGGCGGAGAAGGATATATTTTCTTGGAACTCGGTAATTTGTGTGCATGAACAATGTGGTGATCACGATGGAACGTTGAAGCTTTTCAGAAGGATGTTGTCTGCTGCAGTTCGTCCGGATTTGGTGACTGTCACTACCACTCTTCCTGCTTGTGCTCATTTAGCAGCATTAAGACACGGTAGGGAGATTCACGCGTACATGATTGTTAATGGAGTGAGGAAAGATGCTGATTACAGAGAATACGACGATACTTACATTGATAATGCAATTTTGGACATGTATGCAAAATGTGGAAGCATGCGTGAAGCTCAACTGATCTTTGATATGATGCATTACAAAGATGTAGCATCATGGAATATTATGATTAAGGGGTATGGCATGCACGGATTTGGCATCAAGGCATTAGAATTGTTTTCTAATATGTGTAAGGCAGAACTGAGGCCTGATGATGTCACATTCGTTGGCGTATTGTCGGCTTGTAGCCATTCTGGCCTTATAAAACAGGGGAAAGAATTTCTTGCACAAATGCAGCCGAAGTATGGTGTTGTGCCTTCTATTGAACATTACACCTCCGTGATTGACATGCTAGGTCGTGACGGGCAGCTTGAAGCTGCTTATGAGTTGTTATTAACAATGCCGATTAAGGCCAATTCTGTTGTATGGAGGGCATTCTTGGCTGCCTGCCGTCTCCATGATAATTCTGATCTAGCTGAGGTTGCTGCAAAACAGGTACTTGATCTTGAACCAGAACATTGTGGAAGTTATGTCATATTATCGAATATTTATGGACAGACTGGTCGCTATGAAGAGGTATTAGAGGTAAGAGACACAATGAGGCTACAAAATGTAAGGAAGACACCTGGTTGCAGCTGGATTGAACTTAATAATGGCGTCCATGTGTTTATTACTGCTGATAAGTCTCATCCGGAAGGGAACCTTATTTATGCTGGATTAAATTCCTTAACTGCTCGATTGCGTGAGCATGGTTATACACCAGACTCAGATGCCTTCGAGAGCAGTCCATGAAATTCCGGACATATTCTTCTTCGTCCTAGATGAGATTCTTGATGCACTGACTGAAATGTGGATTTTATAATATCTCTTTGGAAAACCCTAGCCGGTGTGTAAGTTCTTTTTGCTGCTCATGGAAACCGACTTCTATGTATGCTGATGCAGTGAAAGAGCCTGAGTTATCTGTGTGCTTTTAGAGACAAACTTCCGTCGAAGAGTATGTTTTCTTCACTTTTGGATCACTAGTTATAATATTATCAATTTTTTTCCAATATGTGAGTCCCATATGCACATTCTCTTTTCATATATTTTCACAGAAAGAGTTGAAAATTTCAAAAACTTTCAAATGTACATAAGTGGGAGTTGAAACATATGAACGTTAGAACTTTCCTCTGAACATGCTGCTTTCTCACCCTGAGTTCATAACCTATATACTTCTTCAGTATTTCCTTTGATGGTTCTGTGGTTATGGAAATTTGTGCATGAGTTCAAATGGTTGCCAGCCTTTTTCTATTTGAGGCTCAGATAAACGAAGAGTCAATGTGCTATCCGCAATTACATTTTCAGATGTGCTGGGGCGAAAACTTAATGGAATTTTATTTAACATATTGCATCTTTATGATTGTCATAGTTTCTTCAGTTTCTTTTTGTTTGCTTTTCCATAATTGGTAGTATCATAACGTTGCAGTTACATTACCCATGTAGTACCTGAAAAATATACTTTGGTCTGCGATTTCTGCAGGTTTTGAGTATGTAGTATGCCACAACTCTAGCTTCGACATAGTTTAACATGCCTAGAAATGATGTATCTCAAAGGTAGGTAGAATTCTCATCGAAAGAAATTATTACATATTAGAAGATGTAATAAAATGCTCGTCTTTTTCCTCCTTACCAACCAGATGGGGGCGAAGTTGGAGTTTCAGTTTTTCTGCACTGTGAGATGCTGCGCCAGTTGCTGTAAATGGTGTACCTTTTCTCAATAATTTCTAATTTGCTTTTAACATTTTTTGAGTAATGCCACCCTTATCCCGTTGATCTTATTTAGTCGACTTCAAATTACGTTGCTGCCCTTGTTTGGAGTTATTTTGTTTCTGTGATGAAGGTTATTGTCACTTTGCCACCAAAAGTATTTGACGGTGACCTTCCAGCTTTCTGCTTATTCAAATGAGCATTTCTCTCCTATGGATATTTTGGTAGCTTCTGAAAGTTTGGTTAGTAAAGAAAAGGTGTGAAAGAGTAACTTCTAATGGAGTAGTTCGGACAAACTCTATGGGGTTGTTTGGTGGGGAACTAGTTATTCTTGGATTATAGTGACGGGAATATAATACAAGGATTAAATAATGATGGAATTATTTAGTGGACCGATATACTTTTATTGGTAGATGTGTGGTTCGTTGGACTAGAAATGGGATATACGAGGTATAATATAAAACACATGTTTGGTTTACATTAGATAATTTGGGATAACCTTTATTTCCAAATTTAACCTTGATATTTTAAAGAACTGTGGAAGAAAAGCCTTGGAGAAGGGCATCTTTGATATTTTAGTGTTTTATTCCGGGATTGTTATCCCACCCTCACTGTAATATAGGAGTTATACCACAATTAATCCCACGATTATTAAACCTAGATTCGAAATTGCAATCAAACGCGGGATAAAATAATCCCGTATTTTATCCTGGAATTATTATCCCTTATCCCACCAACCAAATGACCCCTGTTTTATGGTTCAATTTCATGTTTTACTTTTGAGTAAATGACATTTTTCATTAATGAGGCTGTTGAGATGGATGTGCGGGCATATCAGGTTAGATAGAATTACAAATGAAGTTATCCGGGACAAGGTGGGCGTGGCCCCTGTGGAGGACAAGATGCGAGAGGCGAGACTTAGATGGTTCGGGCATGTTGAGAGGAGAGACACAGATGCACCGGTGAGGAGATGTGAGAGGTTGGCCCTGGAGGGCCTAAGGAGAGGTAGAGGCAGACCAAAGAAGTATTGGGGAGAGACGATTAGGCAAGATATGACGTTGCTCCAACTTACTGAGGACATGACCATGGATAGGAAGGTGCGGAGGTTGAGAATAAAGGTAAAAGGTTAGGATAGGTAGCCAAGCATTTCCTTGTCTTTAACGGTAGTTTTAGTACACGAGTTATTGTTGTTTGTGTATTTTTGTATTCCTTGACTTCTGTCGTTACTTGTTGTTGTTTTCGTTTCGGCTTTCTGATTGCAGTACATAGTGTTAATTTTGTATTTTTGCTTCAGTTTTCTAATTGGTGTGCTTGTTGTTTCCCTTCCTTTTACCTTGCCTAAGCCGAGGGTCGACCGGAAACAACCTCTCTCCCTTCTTGAAGGTAGGGGTAAGGTCTGCGTACACACTAGCCTCCCCCAAACCCTACTTGTGGGATTACACTGAGTTTGTTGTTGTTGACATTTTTCATTAATAAATCGCAATTGAACGATTTATTTTGTTGCTAGACTTGTTTCTTCATTGATATTATTGCTCGAGAAAATTGACGTGTTGGTGCATTTAAACAGGATTCGATGGGACCGACGATGGTTTGTGAATTCCAGAAGCAGAGCCTGTACTCAAAGAGCAGAGCTCAAAGCTCGCTCTTGTTGAGTGAAATTGCCAAATTATGCAATTTCTGAGGGATGGGAACCAAATAACAACTCATAATTTTCTGCAACTTACATGGAAACGGCAGCATGAAAGTCCAGGTCTGGTTGTTTTATCAGTTGGTTGAGCTGCGAAATTCAAAAATCTGTCCATCACTACTGAAGAACATTTCTCTCATATGGAAATCCTTGTTTCCAGTTTGCTATTGTAAAATGCCACCCTCAATAAGTTGAATATACTCAACAATTGTGATGCACTAATAGCATATTCTGTCTGACTAATTATAGATTTCTGTGGTGTTACTGATATTGTCTCCTTTTTTCTTTTTGTCTTTTTGAGCCGAGGGCCTTTCGGAAACAACCTCTCTACTCTTTCGGGGTAGGGGTAAGGTGTGCGTGCACACTACCCTTCCCAGACTCCACTAGTGGGATTTCACTGGGCGGTCGTCGTCGTTGTTGTTGTAATTATAGACTTCATCAGCATAGCTAAAACGTATTGTTGTATTTTTTTTAACAGCATATTCTATCTGCTAACTATAAATCATAAGTATATCTTTATGATTAATGATATGAACCAGTTTATGGGCGGTAGCAATACTATTAATGCCTAGATAGTTACATTAAAAAAATTCATGTGTTTTTTTCTGGTGAATTTTATTCGAATTTTAATGTATTTTCCATAACTTTTCTTATTTTAATCTATTCTAATATTTTAATTTTTTTCAGTAATATTAAAAATAAAAATTCATTTTCTCATTTCCTATGTGTCGCACCAAACATCCTGCCTTACGATAGAACATTTCTTTTTACGCCTTTTGCCTCTTAAAGCATTAATTAGAATAACAAAGTACAACATCCTAACAGCTTGTTTGGATGTTCGTTACTTATTGTATTGTATCGTTTGTTACTTTAAATACGATGTTTGTTTTGGTTGTTACTTAAATTTTATTGTATTGTATCGTTAAATCCGTCGTTACGTAACGACGAAATATGCCACTTTATGTAACGACCGATTTGGTGTCGTTGCGTCGTTGTCTTGTCTTTTTCTCTCATCTCACCCTTCACTCTTATTAAATAATTTTATTTTATCATTTACCCTACCTTTTTATATAATAAATTTACCCCGTATCATAATTTTTCTTTATAATATTGCAAATTTATTCTTCATATTACTGGTGCATGATATCATGAAACAACAACAAATGATACAATCTATCCAAACATTGTATTTATCAAACGGTACAATACAATACAATACGAAACGATGCGTAACAACCATCCAAACAAGCTGTAAATAACATATATGGCGAAATTCATGTAAGATTTACATGGCAAAGTGACAAATTCTTGAAATTATGATGTCAGAGTGCCAAAAAAGCTAAAAACTGAGAAACAAATAAAAATGAAAAGAGTTTAACTTATTGATTTAAGTTATATCCACCGAAAGTGTAATTAACTTTTTACACCATCACTGAAATGTAACATGTCATAACATGTTATTTACTATACTTAATTTAGATTATCAATCAATGCCATTAAATGGAGTTGTTTGTAATTACCTTTTAAACGATGATGGTATAAATATTTAGTTCATCTTGTGCATAGAACTTAAATTCTTAATTATATATTTTTTTTTGGCACTTTTAGATCACCCAAAAAGTATTTACAAGTAATTTTTCACAAATAGTAAGATTTGTAATCTCAGAAATTGATGAGTTACATGTTATCACAAATTAAATTGATTGGGTATTATAAATTTTTCTTGCACTGTGAGTGTAAATAAGGTGAACTCTTAGGGGTCGTTTGGTATGAGGCATAAGAAGGTATAGTGCTGGCATAAAAATTTAATACCGCCTTGATACTTCGTTTGGTTAGCAAACCAGATATAAGTTATCTCACGATTAAAATTAACACCGGGATAACTTATACCTTATAGAGGGTGGGGTAATTAGCACCGGAACAACTTATACTTCTTCTTAGCAATTATGCAATTACTATTTTTAATACAGCATACCAAACAGTGAATAAAAAACGATCCCAACATAACTTATTCGAGCATAACTTATCCCGCATAAGTCGTATTCAAACCAAACGGCCCCCAAAGTAAAAAAGAAGTCGCGATCCCAACGGCTAAAATACAAAAACAAGAGAGAAAGCTCTCCTATTTTCATCTCCCAACAATATCTATCAACTGATTCTTAACTACAAACCACCCATTTCACAAGAACCTTTACAAATGCCGACTCTGAATCTGTTTACAAATGTACCAGTAGATGCAGTGGTAGCTTCTGATATTCTCAAAGATGCTACTAAAGCTGTTGCCAAAATTATTGGCAAACCCGAGTCAGTTAAGTCCCTCATTTTTCCCATTTGTATTGGTGTCATATTGTTTTCATATTTCACATTGCCTGATACCTGCTTGATGAAATTCCGCTGAAAAAAGTGTATCAACTTCTTTTACTGAATAGACAGCAATTGGTTTAGTGGTTTATAAGTCATCTTCACTTTTAATGGGTAGGTTAGGAATTGGAGTCGTGAAGTTAAGTGACATTGAAATGAGATTGGTTTGGTAATAGGTGGAGAATTCGAGTCATGTGGAGCAGTAGCGGAGCCTGGATTTTCATTAAGGGGTATCAAATTCTAAAGAAGTAAATAAGCAAAGAAGTAAGGGAATATTTTTCCGGCGAAGGGGGCCCACCCCTCGGAGCTCTGTAGCTCCGGCACTCACGTGGAGATTAACAGGGTTTTTTGAGTGATGTGGAGTATTTTACCATCTGCAATCCGGAATTCACTACCCAACTAATCTAGATTCGCGCTGCATAGAGTCCATTAAAGGGGTTTCTCCATTATCAGGCTCGAACTCGAGACATCTGGTTAACAATGGAGTAATCCGTCCATCCCACGACACCCCTTGGTAGTCATGTGGAGGTTAAGTGGGAACATGTTTAGAGATGGGGTGTAAAAAAAAAGGAAAAGAACAATTACCTGTGCTTATTCATTCTTAGCTATTGAATTGAATTGAAACTATATTAGTATTACAAATATTGGTAGTAGGAAGTTAAATTGGATGCAGACCCATATTTTGATAGGATTTTAACCTGAGACGGAGCAGTTTGACTTACCCATTAGGATAACCTTCATTGCCAGCTTGTAAATAATTGTTTGTTGGTTTGGGGTTCACAACTTTAAAGGAATTCTTCTTTCGTTTCGTAATACATTTATGTTGGTAGATAACAAATTCAGAATCCAAATTATCCAATAGATGTTTTGTTGCCACTTCTTGTAGCATGGAAAACTTCGAGGGGTGGGTGGTTTCATTCAGTCTACTCTACTTCTTTGTGCTAGTATAAAGGAAAAACATCGGTGTTCTCTAAGCATTTACTTATCTCCAAAACAGCAGGAAAAATAAATTTAGTACCCTTTCTCCAATAAGTAGAATATTAGCTTCCCGCAATTGTGAGGTGACTTAACATGACAGGTTTTGCTGATTGTAAGGACCGGATTTCCAATATATGAAGAAAAATTAAATTGTACAAAAATTAAAGTGGTATACTAAGCCGTTACCAGTCAAAGAGATTTTGATTTGTTCCCCTGAATATGGAAATGCCTACCATGAATCTTTAAATACAGATGCAACTGAGCAATAATCTGATTATCTCGTAGTTTCGCTCTATGGTAGATTAACTTTGCTGTTGTGAAGAATTTTAACCTATGTCTTCTTGTTTTTTCCCCAGTATGTGATGATCTTGTTGAATGGAGGAATTCCTATTGCATTTGCTGGTACTGAAGCTCCTGCTGCTTACGGAGAATTGATCTCCATTGGGGGTCTTGGACCTGGTGTGAATGGAAAATTCAGTTCAACCATTGCCGAGATTCTTCAGACAAAGCTGTCAATAGACAGCAACAGATTCTATATAAAGTTTTATGATTCTCCGGTAAGTCTTCACAAGAAAATCTAGGGAAATGATCTCTTTGTCTTCCCCCTACCCCAACCCGTCGTTGGGCCAGTACAGGAGACCGATAAGTTGGTCTTAATTAGGTTATGTGTAATGCACTTCCCTTTGTCTTGAACAACTAAAAGAATCATCTACTGCTTCCTATTATACGCCTGGACTCACAGAACCAATTCAATCAACCCTGGCGAAGTTTAGACCTTGTATGTGTTTTTTGCATGTATCGAGCATATTGTATGTTGTTTAGTAGTAAGGATCACTCTCTAGATAAGTTGAATTAGCTGTAAAGTTTGTTCATTAGATGAAATCTGTGGAGAAGAACCACTTAAAGTTAACCATCTTGAAAACAACTTTCAACATTATTGTTAGATGAGGTTGCATAGAACTTTGAAGTGATGTCCTTCCGTTGATTACTCCCAAACAGCATTAGTTTCCTAAGATACTGTTTCAACTGGAATTTGGTTGTTCACCATTTATGCAGTCCTGCTCAGAACTGATTGCTGATTGGTTAAAATGTCCTGTTTTCGTTGCACCGATGTTCCTATTGGAATTTGCTTTATTTCGGTGGAATCTAATCATCTGAACAGTACGAATAGACATTGTGCTTGTACCTACTTTTTAGTAAGCATCGTTAATGCTCAACCAGCACAAACTTGAGCTATTGCTGCATTTAGGTAGATTCTTGTGCTTAGATCTTGCATTTTCATTTCATAGTTTTTTATATGTGACCGTGTGTACATCAATGTAAAGGTTCTGTTATTGCGATATCTGAACCAGAACTACTTATCTTTGTGTGCAGCGCCAGTTTTTTGGGTTCAATGGCTCAACTTTTTGATGAGCCTGCTTAAGAATAGCTGCTCTGGAGAAGGCACTTATTGGTAGAAGAGCACATTTAAGGTGGCTTAAGACTCCATCTGCACTCAGCTGTGATCGTATCATCCAAGAAAACTTTCTGACATGTTAATGGTTATACTTTTGTATTTGACTGTACAACTGGTCTCTATGATTTTGTACATGATTGTGGGATTCGTAGCGCTAAGAAAAATAAAGTTGGAATGCATATCCCAGCATTAACAATTGCCCAGCATTGGGCTAATTTTCCAAATTTAGTTTCTGTTGTCGTCTTCAATAAATTGAAATATTTCGTAGTAGATTTCTGTTATATTTTTATACAAGTTAAAGAAGTACAGACCTATGAGTTTATATTTGTTTCCTTGACTGGAAAGTTAATTGAAAATAAGTTGAAGAAGAAGAAAAAAGAAAAATCACCCTGCAAACTTTGGAGGCAGGGGTGGCAAAATGAGTATAAAGTTGCGCATTCAATAAGAACCAGTCAATTACTTGGACCTCCTGACAATCATTTTGAAGTAATTTCTTTTACATGTCATTTTTGAAATGGCAGAAACCAACTGCCAGTTCTTCCTGACTATTGGCTGCAGCAGGAAAGTTCTTTTCTTTTGTTGCGCATTGCCCCCTTCTAGGAAGGATCAGATTGATCGTTTACTGCAGCTTAGCAATATCGAGCTCGTGACAGGCCATGCTTTCTATCTGCATCCTATCAGATTAAGGAACTCTCCAGGTTAGTATCTTGGGATCTTGAACTAAACCAATAATAGCAATGCTACTAATCACCTCATCGCAGTCGAGTTTGATGCAACTCAGTCCCGAGGATTCAATGATATCAGTGATAACCGTGTTGAAGTGCTTAAGTTCCATGGAATCAGATTTCTCATGGCCAGTCCTGAAAAAAAAAAAAAAAAATCTCATGGCCAGCAGAATACTTTGAATAACAATAGTGGTGTAATGGTATTGTTTCAAAGTACTACTCTTCTGAGGAGAGGCTGAGCCAGGATTGATGAGAACAAACCCTATTCACTATAAAAGAAAGAAAAGAAAGAAGACAAAAAGAAGTAGAAAAAAGACAAAGAGAAAAAGTAAGAATGAAAAGAAAGAAAACGAGAGAAAGAAAGAAAAAGTCAAAGTTGGTGGGCTGCAAAATGTGAAAGAAAGAATCGGTTCACGGTGCCGTCCTACTTAGTGGCGGATTTATAGGCAAGTATATGGTGCACGTGAATCCATAGTCTCTCCGTCAAACTAGATATTTTATGTACATATTTTTTAGAATTAGTCTAATATTATCTACTGGCACTGATGTTCCAAAGAGGCTATATGGTGCACTTGTTGAATGTTGAGTTATTTATCCAGATGAGCAGGGATAAATCCTACTTAATACCTTTTTTCTCTCATTTCTTTAGTGGTGCACTCATGTTATAAAAATCTTAGATCCGTTTCTGGTCCTACCGCGTATTTACATTCGCTTAAACTTTTTCCAGCAGATGCTCTGCCTATAAATTGGCATTACCTTCTTCAATTGTATATCATCCCTCACATTCTTCGTTCTCTCTCAATATCAATAAAACTATTCTCTGTGTGGTCGTGGAGTAGGCAAAAATTGCCGAACCACGTAAATCTTGTCTTGTCTTGACTTGCGCAATTTATTATTTTTTCTTTTAAATATTTTTTCCTTCTATTAGCCTCACACGCTTCCTAACAACTGGTATCAGAACACAGACAGTGTAACTCTAGTAGAAACGTACGGTATTGGTGCAGTGTACTATTCACAAGAATAGTGCTACACTATTGCTCATCAATACTAACACTATCACAATAGTGAAAGTACTCTTCACCAATAGTGAGTGTTGTCTACCTTATACTGTTGGGATATTTTTCCTACACAGAGTACTATTCACGGTTACTATTCACACAAAAAAAAATTGTGAAGAAATGATGTCGGAAGAAGGGAAGGTTAAGATTGAGTCAATGGCAAAGATTTTTGGATTCTGTAAAATGCAGATAGAAGATTATTTATACCAGAAAAAATTAAACTTACTTGTGACCGGGGTAAAACCAGAGAATATGCCCAACGCATACTGGAATTTATTAGATCGTCAAGCTCTAGTGTGAATCGTTTGACACTGACATAAAATGTGGCATTTAACATCATTAACAAGAGGACTAGTGCAGGCCTGATAAAGGCATTATCAAATATGTACGAGAAGCCATCTACTTCAAATAAAGTCTATTTGATGCGTCGATTGTTCAACTTGAAGATGACAGAAGGTAGATCTATTACGGAACATATCAATGAGTTTAATGTAATATTAACTCAATTGAATTCTGTTAACATAACATTTGATGATGAAGCCAGGGCGTTGATTTATCAGAGAGTTGGTCTGTAACAGTAACTGCAGTTAGTAGTTCATCGGGAAGTACAAACTCAAATTAGATGATATCAGAGACTTGGTTCTAAGCGAAGATATTTGCCGGAGAGAATCAAGTGATTTCCAATGATCTATTTTTAATACTGAAAGCAGGGAAGAAGCAACCAAAGAGGACAAAGTCATGGTCATGGCAGATCAAAGTCAAGGAGAAGAGAGCAATCTAAGAATCACAAAGACATTACTTGTTGGAATTGCGATAAAAAGGGTCACTACAATAGTCAACATGGAGAACCAAAGAAGAAGAAGAAAAACGAGCAATACAAGGAGATAATTCGGCAAATGTAATTTCTGAACAAGTCATTGATGCATTAATTTATTGTGCAGACAGTCTAGTCGAATATTGGATTGTGGATTCAGGTGCATCTTTTCACTCTACCCCATGCAAAGAATTATTGCAAAACTATGTTGCTGGAAAATTCGAGAAGATTTATCTAGCAGACAACGACGAACCTTTGGATATTATCGGGAAAGGTGAAGTTCATATAAAGACTTCAAAGGAAAAAAATAGAAATTACAAGATGTATGACATGTTCCTTGCCTCAAGAAAAATCTGATATCCATGGGTCAGATTGACAGTAAAGGATACATAATAGTATTCGGTAACGGATCATGGAAGATAACCAGAGGAAATTTGGTTGTGGAACGAAATTTCAAGAAAGGAACACTGTGTGCAATCGCAATACAGAGAGATACTATCGCAACGGTTGACTATGGTCGTGACACAACATTGTGGCACTGGAGGCTCGGGCATATAAGTGAGAAGGGAATAAAGCTGTTGGCATCCAAAAAAAAATTGCCAAACCTCAAGCATGTTGAATTAGGTTTGTGCGAAGATTACATTTACAGGAACCAAAAGAGAGTTAGTTTCTCAAAGGTAGGAAGGACATCAAAGAAAGAGAAGCTGAAACTAGTGCATATGGATGTGTGGGGACCAGCTCCCGTAAGTTCTCTGGGAGTCTTACACTATTATGACTTTATTGATGATTCCACGAGAAAGGGTATGGGTTTATTTTCTGAAAAATAAATCCAATGTGTTTGTTACCCTTAAAAGATGAAAAGCTGAAGTTGAAAATCAGACAAGCCTAAAGTTAAAATATATGAAGTCTGACAATGGAGTCGAGTATAATAGTCAAGAGTTTAAAGCATTCTGCTCTGAGAATGGGATCAGAATGATCAAGACAGTTCCTGGAACATCTAAAAAAAATGGCGTTGCTAAGAGGATGAACATAACCATGAATGAACGAGCTAGAAGTATGAGAATACATTCTGGGTTGCCAAAGTATTTCTGGGTCGAGGCTGGTCACACGGCAGCTTAGCTCATAAACAGGGGACCCTTTGTACCACTAAATTTTGAAATTCCTGAGGAGGTATGGACATGAAAGGAGGTAACTCTCTCACATTTGAAATTTTGTTGTTGTGTTGCTTATGTGCATATAAACACTAATGATAGAGATAAGCTTGATCCTAAATTCAAAAAAAAATTCTTTACTGGCTATGGTTGTCACGACCCAATTCCTCCCTCCATGAACTGTCGTGACGACACCTAGTCTCTACGACTAGGTAAGCCTAACACCTTGCGAAAATGAAAAACAAAGGCATGAATGTTAACTATTGGCAACACAACTATCTATTAAGCAACTAAATGCCGCTCGGTATATACAGTTATCACTTCGGAAAAGTATCAAACAATACCCAAAACCCGGAAACCCGTAAGTCACAAGCTACTAAGATATTCTAACTGTTCTATACATCATCTTTACAGAAAGAAAGAGAAACGAATATAAGAGGATAGAGGGGGACTCCGAGGATCTGCGGGCGCGGGCAGATGTACCTTGAAGTCTCTGACAGGCAGCAACGACTACAACTAGTGATGAGGCTGGTACGATGAACCTGGATCTGCACAAGAAAAACATGTGTAGGAAAGGGCATGAGTACACCACAGCGGTACCTAGTAAGTGCCAAGCCTAACCTCTGTCGAGTAGTGACGAGATCAGGTTAGGGCCCTACTGGTTTACACATATAATAAGGTAAAATAGTATGAAATATGGCAGTAAAGATAAATGCTAACAGTCAATGAAAATGAAATCACAAGAAAATAATAACTCAGTACACAAAGATAGCAACAGGGGATCTCCCGGGATACCGTCCCGTAGTCCCATACGTAAATATACAGGGTATCTCCTGGGATACCGTCCCGTAGTCCCAAATATAAATGTGCAGGGGGGAGGGATCTCTTAGAATACTGTAGTCCCAAAGTAAATATATCCAGTGCAGGGGATCTCCCGGGATACCGTCTCGTAGTCCCAAATATAAATGTACATGGCGATCTCCCGGAATACCGTTCCGTAGTTCCAAAGTAAACATACAGCTCAATCAATATAAGTAACAGTTTCAACAAGAAATTCTACAGTTTAGACTAAAATCATATCTAAGAAGACAGGCAATCCTTACTCTAAACATGCTGCACAGAGTCCAGTTAGGCAGTTAAGACAGTTAAGGCACGTAAGCATGCTTTCCCAAGCTAAACAGGATGGCTACATATACTAGTATTGCTCGATTAAAGGAAAACATAGATATTTACTTAATGAAAATGGGGTTTTTCAACAATTAGCACGTGTACGCACTCGTCCCCTCACGTACACGATATTCATTTAACAACAATACCAAATCCTAAGGGGAGTTCCCCCACACAAGGTTAGGCAAGCCACTTACCTCGACCCAAGCTCAAAATCAATCCGAAATCACGCTCTTGCCATGAGTATCCAACTCCGAGTGGCCAAAATCTAATCAAATCAATTACATAACGTAATTATAGCTACAAGCAACTAATTTAGCTAATGAATTTAAAGCCAAGGCAAGAAAATAGGAAAACGTCCAAAAATCCTCCCTGGGCCCACGTCTCGGAATCGGGTAAAAGTCACAAATTATGAACACCCATTCACTCACGAGTTCACTCGTACAAAAATCATCCAAATCCGATGTCAAAATACCAATCAAAAACCAAATTCTTAGTTGAAGAACTTCTACCATTTTCCCCCAATTTTCTCAACCAATTTCCTTAATTAGATGATGAAATCAACCATATATTAGTGTAATATATAACCATTGAGGAGTTAAGAATCCATACCCAAAAGCTTTCTCCGAAAATCCCTCAAATAAAATCGCCCAATCCGAGCTCTTAAAGTCCCAAAATTGAAAAATGGGATAAAACCCTTGACTTGGTCCTTTTTCTGCCAAAGATCTCCCTTCTGCGAGGGGTCCACCGCATCTGCGGAAATTTCATCGCAGGTGCAGATTTCACTTAAGACAGTTGGGTTTGCATCTGCGGAATGGGGGTTGCACCTGTGCGTGCGCGCCTGCGGCTGTTTGGTCGCTTCTGCAGTCCTTTACCGCTTCTACGGTCTTTCCATCGCATCTGCGGGCATCGCAGATGCGGAATGCACCTCGCACCTGCGACCCCTGGCACTCCTCCATTTTGCCACTTCTGCGCTTCTCCGTCCGCACATGCGATCCCGCACCTGCGGCCTCCCCACCGCAGGTGCGAAAACACCAGAACTCTGAAGACTTCAGCAATAACATACATTCCAAATCTTGATCCGTTAAGCACCCAAAACT